GTGTGTGTGTCTAGCATCTCACTTGATTCTTAAGCGGTATGTTGAGAAAATGTGTTCTTATGAGTTGTAGGAATGTATCAGAAAGGTACGCCTCCCCTCACGTCAAGCAACACTAATGGTTTGGGAGCTTCGTTCCAGGTCAGGCATTGGCTATCTGCTATATTCAAACAAAATATGAAGAGCTAAGTAGATGCTAAATGGTATACAATAGGAATGCGGTGGTATGTCGTATGGCACTTTAGGTTTTTTGTTTCACCCAAAGCCTGACCTTCTTATGTGATAGGATGGTGATGGCATCTGTCTATTTATTCTGCATCAGCTTGTAGTAATCACTCGTATCAGTGTATCACCCTAACCTATAGTTTTGTAACTTTACAGACCAAAATAGGTAAAACATCACGTTTCTTCACTTTTATTAAAAATATCCTCATCAAGCATAACCATATTTTCTTCTATCGTCCCTCGTTTTTCATAGCAGACTGACTTTTTCTTGAATATAGACTCTGCAGACCTTTTTTCCAAAATAGTATTCACTTTATGACCAAATTAGGGTTTACACAGAAACATTGTACATTTTTTTTCTTTTCACCAGATTTTTCTTAATATGTTCCTGAGTGCTGATATGAAGAGGACATGCTTTAAACACAGTGAGTTATGCACCTTTGGACCTTTAGCAACTTGACAATACCGAGTTATGGATCCAGTGTCATGTCTTCTTTCTATTTTGTGCATTTACTCGTAAGAATATCTAAATGCAACTCCTACAAATTGAACTTGTATGGAAACATGGTTCACTTAATAATATAAAGAACCATTATACATGTATACCTCTGTGTCACCCACGTGCTATGGATGTTTAGTTCCCTGTTCATGTAATGCTTACGTAGGATTCAGAAGGAAAAAACTACCATTTTATTGAAACAAAACTGCCACTTACAATTTCTAAAGACATTAGCAATGTTGATGTGGAGAAGTGATGGGCCTAAACCCAAATGGAATAGGAAACTGGAATCCTAATTCCTAAACGTTATTAGAACAGCAAACTATAGCACTCCCAAAATATAATTACTATATTTCTATAATTACTTCTTCCTATACTTTAACCCTTTGCTCTTTAAGCTTCTACAATTTAATTTTTTGGAATAGGGGGGTTCTGGATCACAGCATGGTGGAAGGACAACTGCAGCTTCTCCGGGTGGTCCCACCAATACCTCCTTTGATACTATGACAGCATCTCCTTTACAATATGCTAACTCACCTAGATCCGGAACGAAAATGATGATGAACACACCATCTCCCCAGCAGCAATCACATCAACAACAAGCACCACAACAGCAAAGGCAGAAACTGATGCAGATTCCTCAACAACACCAGCAGCAACAATTCCTTGCTCAACAGACATATAGGCAATCCCCAATGACAGGATTGAATCAAGTAAATCTCATTTTTATTGTGTTTGTTTCTATAACTTACAGATCAGATGCTTTTTTTCATGTAATGTAATAATGATTGCAGAACCAGTTTACACAGCTTCAACAAGATCTGCAGCAAGGTCAGAGCCAGCAGAAGTTTCAATCTGTAATCATCAATCAACCTCGCTTTTCTTTTTACTGTATGAAAAGCTGTTGAGTGACATGATTCCTTACTTTCCAGGACTGTACGAATTTCTTACATTTGTGCATTGCAATCAACCTAGCTTTAGAATGAATTAGAAGTAGGGGGTAGAGTGTCTTGGGCAGCCGTACCATCCATTGGGCCTTGCTCATGTCATGTACAAACCTATATGTACCTCTCTATCTCTTAGTGGAGGGATCAAATTCTAATTTCTCTAAGCCTCTAAGGCAATTCAAGATTGAGCTATCCTCTCTCTTTTGCCACACCGGTTCCCTGAGACCTTTTCTATAATTAAAAACACCTCCCTTGTGGTCCGGGGGGGGGGGGGGGGGG